AATTCTCATAAAAGAGTTTAGAGCTCTGATATCATGTGAAGAAATATGAGAAGAAAAAAAAAATCTCTATTTCTAAATTGATAATACATTGTATTACATAGTAGGTTACAAGAGAAAAAAAATAAAAAAATTAACTCATTCTTAAATAAAACACTAATTCATCAAGAAATCTACTCATTTCTAAATAAGACATTAACTCATTAGGAAATCTAACCTCTTAATCCCTCAATTTACAGGATTTCCAATTAATTCTCCTAATCTCTTGCCAACATATCTACATCTTGACAAAGATCACTCAAATAAAATAACTATTTGATCTGGTCCATTTTTCTCCTAGTTTCTAAAGACTATCGGCTTGTTGATGGTACCAGAGTTCTGAAGTGGAAAATATATACTGAATCTGGACACTCTTCTCTAGCAACAAGTTGCTTCTCTTGTTTTGTCCTTGATTCAAGCAACAGTAACCTCTAACACTCTTCACAGCTTGCTCAAGCGCAATATTTCTCTTGCTACCTGACAATCTTGGTTTGTCATTAAGCAGCTGTTTCATGACCAAAAACATGCTTGTCGTCTTCCAATAAAATTTGAGTTCTACAACACCTAGAGTTGTTCTCTCTGTTGACGCATATCTTTAAAATTTGGACTGTAATTATTTGATCTCAATTGGGATGATCTTTTTGAAGAGAATTGGTTGTTCAAATCGTGAAGAACTCTCGAGGATCTTCCCTTAGACTAGAAGAAGGTGGTTATTAGTTTAAGGTCTTGGGGGCGAGTCATGAGTTTCAGTTACACACATCGATGGAGGAATTGGAGGATCTGGACAGACGGGAAGGGGAGCACGGTTTGAATGAGGTTGAATTGGAACAAAGAATTGCTTTAAGAAAAAATATTGAATTAAATTTGCTGATGGAGGAAGTGAATTGGAGGCAGAAATCAAGGGCTCGTTGGATTGCTGAAGGTGACAGGAATTCCAGATTTTTTCATTGTTTGGCTAACCATCACAGGAGGTGCAACTATGTGAGGTCTTTGAGGTTTGGTGACAGAATTGTTCAGGGGAATGATGCGCTAAGAAGTAATGCAAAGGATTATTTTGCTGCTTTGTACAGAGAAGAGCTGGAATGCAGACCAAATCTAGACGGCATCACATTTAGAAGGCTGGATGAGGCTGACAGAGTGGATATTGAGAGAAGCTTCACTGAAGAAGAATTTTAGAGGGGCTGATGGCATGCAGGAAGGATAAGGCGCCGGGACTAGATGGATGTAATATGGAATTCTTGCAGGAATTTTGGCACGTGGTTAAGAGAGATATTGTGAATCTGTTTAATGACTTTCACATAACAGTTACCTTTGTTTACGTCCCTAAACACAACTTTTATTGTTCTCATTCAGAGAGTAAATAGGGCCTCTAATATTAAGGAATTCCAACTGATTAGTTCGGTTGGGCGCAAAGATAAGTTGA